CATTGTGGGTCCGTCTTGACTCATTGTGGTGGTTTCCCACAGTCTCATGACCCTCTCCCAAACGCGGGCTCTCCTCCTAGCAATGGACCTCTCCTGGTGGCGTGTTCAAAGCAGCGGGCAGTTGAAGGCTAGCCACCCTCACTTAGAAAGAACGTTCTTTTTTTTTTTTTTTTTAAGACTGATGTCTTCATTCTTAATTTTAGGACATTTTAAATAAGAATCTCCTCCTTTGGGGTGGAACATTCTTACCCATTTGGGTAGGAAAGAAAAAAAAACATCTTGGGCCTGCCAGGTGGATCACGATCCTAGACTTCTTGAGTCTGCTTGGGAGGACCAAGGAGCGGATTCTCAGCCCGGAAGAGGACTTACTTGCAGAGGACTGCTGGGTCTTCTGAAGAGCTTCTTGCTGGTGATTTGTCCAAAGGAGCATGATGGGTGCTTTCTCTTCCGGTTGGGAGCTCAGACTCAGGTAAGATCCAGGAGAGGAGATTTCACCTGCCAATTTGTGACTGACAGCTCATCTGTAGAAGAGTCGCATGGTCTCTGGAGAATAATGACAGAGGAAGACCCGGTGTGTATGCACCCTGCCTGTTGATGGCCCAAGGAAGGCCCAGGTCCCAGAAGCAGGCACAAGACATGTCAGGAGGGCCTGGGGGTGTCACTAGGGTGGCTTGGGGGGCTTAGCCCACACATGTGTCTCTGTTAGAAGAGGTGCCATCACTGCCCTGGCTGACATCACTGTTAGTGATAGTTCTGGGTCAACCAGCAGCAAAATCACAGAGGTCAGGGTCCGCAGTGGTATTTTCCCCCTTTCCCCCTTTATCTCTCTGCAGATCCTCCCTTCTAGAGGAATGTGTGCTGGAAAGGAGAACTCGGATGGCCCGCAGGGACAGGGGAGAGCTGAAAGGCAGGTATCAGGTAACTCCTAAAAGGAGGGACTTCCCAAGACGGTGGATGCTCTCCCTCCACCCTATATGCCTTCCTCCCATGTCAGAAGCCTGCCTCTCACGGCCACCGACACAATCCACAGCTATGGCATGGGGCCCCAAAGCAATCTCCCAGATTCCCAAGCTGTAGTTTATCCCCCTTTGCCCCTGAAGGGTCTGCCCCCAACCTGCAGCACACCCGGGGCCCTGCTTCTCAACAATGGGCGTCCCCCTCCTACTGTAGGATCAGGCTAACGTCGCTTCGTTCAACTGGAAAGGGCCACCCTTCCTCTTCTGCCTTCGGATCCGCCTGTCTTCCCAGAGGCTACTCAGGACTCGTGCCTGCCAGTGAGCTAGTCCTGCTGACGCCACCGTGACCTGAGCTTCGATTAGGTGTACAGACCCTACTATGACACGAGCCACAAAGCGATTCTCTCCTGCCCTTGTAAGCCCAAGGCATACAGACCACCAGCCGCCATCCTTACTGATTGCTGTAGGGTTGTTTTTGATTTTCATTTGCAAATGAAAGTTAGTATACTGAGTATTTGATTGGCATCTGGTTTAATGTGCAATCACATTTCAATGGAAGTGAGAACTTTCACGATACTCATTTCACTGTACCTTGACTTGCTAACTCAACTTTACAAATAAAAATGGTTCCTGAATCCAGAATGAGTTAAAGCAAAAAAGTTCATTCTCCCCCTCAAAACAAAAAACAAAGAAGGTAAAAAAAAAAAAAAAGCCAAGTACCGTTGATTCCGACTCTGAGGGGTGCGAACATGGTTGGCTGCTAATTGGGAGGTGGGTGGTTCAAATCCACACCGACACCAACACCAAACTCACTCCCCCCCACCCCCATCCGTGCTGACTCATAGCAGCTCCCGGTATTTCTGAGACTGTAACTGTCTACCAGTTTTCTAACCCAGAGCTGCTGCTGGTTTCGAACTGCCGACCACGTATCATGGCCCAACATGTAATCACTACACCACTAGAGCTCCATCGGTCCACACTGAGACACGATAAAGAGGGGACCAGCTGTGTGGCCACGGTTCTGCTCTCGACGCCCAGGGGGTCACATGCATTCCTCCCCAGCACCATTGGAAACGAAACCATTCTCATCAAATGATTCCAACTCAGAGGGACCCTATAGGACAGAGCAGAAGTGTCCCCAAACGTTTCCAAGACTGAACTCTTTAAAGAAGCCACGTCTTTTTCCCACAAGAGTGGCTCATGAGTTTGAACTCACTTTGAGTTCGAGGCCAATATTCAAACGAAGAGCCAAAGATGATGTTAGCTGGTTTAGGATAGGATGCCTCTGTTTTCAATGTATTGTTTTCCATCCCCGATGGTAACTTTTTTTAAGAGAGCAAGCGGTGGCACTTTGTTTCAAAGGTGGTTGTAGCAATTTTACCTACAGAAAGACTTCAATGAGTACATGGAGGAAATTCCATGATTTCCCTTCCATTTTTCCGCGAACTTCTTGAAACCGCCTGGTAGTTCCTAATTTAATCTTCACCTTCTGTCCTGCCCTGTAGCAGGATCATCTAGTGACGGCCTCTCCTTCCATTGCCCAACCCATCCCCTCCCCCACCCCACCCCCACCCAGGACAAGGATCTGAGAGGTTGGGACCATAAATCTGGATCCTGGTCTAGGGCTGCAAATGCAGATCTGTCCCCATTGCTCTCCGTTATTGTACATTCTAGAAATGTTTGTTGCTAAAGAAACAGAACTTTCCACCAAGGCTGGTCCCAGGAAGGCAGCTGGTTGGTCTGCAGCTGGGGACCTGTACAAGCAGGGACAACCACGGGTCTTCTCCTGGCTGTGGAAGCCAGAGCTTCTTCAGGGCCTGATGGAAAGATCTCTGTGGTCTTGATGCTCAGCTTGCCCGTTCCCCTGCGGTTGGCAAGGAAGTCAAAGGCTGATCGGGTGAGCGGTTGGCCTGGACTGTGCTGACTCTGCCCACAGGCCTACGCTGGCAGCAGGTTACGTGGGGGGTCCGTTGACAACCAGGCTCAGTGTGGGGTCAGCTCCTTCCACCACCCTGTGTTTGGCTGCAAACAAAATCTTTCTTTCTTCTGGAGGACCAGAGGGCTGTCCTTTGTAATACATACATGCTCCCAAGTGTGAGACCCCAGCATGTGGGCCTGGCTGGTTCTTTAGCTGCGGTGAGATGGCATTCATGGGAAGGGGGCAGGGTGGGGGTGTCAGTCTGGGGAGACTAGAGAAACAAATCCACAGAAATTCATGTGTATAAGAGAGAGTTTTATATAAAGGGTAAGTGTACATTCACAAAGCATCCCAACTCAGTGCTGTCCAAGCCCAGAAGTCCAACCTTAGCCCATATGTCCAACACCAATCCACAAAGTCCTCCTCCATCTCACAAAACACACGCAATGACGCCAGCTGCGGGAAGAAAGCTGAATCAGTGAGCGTGTAAGCATGTCGGTGCTGGCAGGGGTCTCCACACGGCTGCTCCAGCACCCAGGGCTGCATCGGGGTAGGTCCATGTGGCTTCT